TTCTACATGGCTTCGTGCCTGTCTTTGTGCCAAGTAAGAAATATAGATTGAAAGAATTAAAATCTTTTAGAAAGAATATGGAGTGTGTCACTTAAGAGAATTGATACTTTGATGGGCTTGGCTTACTCGAAATGGAATGAAAAGAACAGTTGCTTACGTAAACAAATGCCACATTTCAATGAACAATTAGAAACGAGATACACACACTCTGTCACTTGCAGGCATTCCGTGACGAAATAAAAATCATAATTTAAAAAATAAAATGCAAAAATTCCTTTTTTACTATATAATAACATTTAATATAAAATGTTTTAGAAATATTTATTTTTAAAAATAAATAATGATCCCTCAATAATCACATTTAGAAAATTGAATCAATAAAATTTATAACGCAAGTAAACACATAATTACATTGTTACACACAAAAATAATTTATTTTAGGAATTAATTAATGTAATATGCGACGGTAAGCAACATTTATAAAATTTTCTCGTTCTTGAACCTGAAAAAGAAAAGAATGAATAAGAGATTGTAACTCACGTAGGCACTCTTAAAAATAATTATATAAATCTATAAACAATTTATAAAATTACTTACATTTTTTTATAATTAATATTTCATTTATTGAAAATAAAATAATAACAAAAATATCTGATTTATTATATCTGAAATTGTTCCAAGATATCAGAGAGCAAGAAAATTGTAATTAAAAATTATAAGACTTACATATATATATTGCATATTAAATTGCAGTACAATAAAGTGTTTCAATTTTATTATTTAATTACAAAGTTCTAGTGCCAAATATAGCAATTTGGATAAAATAAATTCTAAGAGAAATTACTGGAATGGCGAAACATTAACAGATAATTTGGAACAACGTAAGATACATTAATTTATTTTATTTTATTCATTTAATCCGAAATATGTGACATATATATTGCATATTAAATTGCAGTACAATTAAGTATTTTAATTTTATTATTTAATTATAAAGTTCTAGTGACAAATATAGCAATTTGGATAAAATAAATTCTAAGAGAAATTACTGGAATGGCGAAACATTAATAGATAATTTGGAACAACGTAAGATATATTAATTTATTTTATTTTATTCATTTAATCCGAAATATGTGATATCGCTGAATATATATGGTTAGACAAATTGCTTTTACACAATATTGGGATACGTTAATATCATTTTGGAAGCAAAACTGCAAAGCACGAAATTATACCAAGTCTTCGTCTTAAGTAGTTAAAGATAATTAAAGTGTGTTTTATAATATTAAAACGGACAATTGCGTATTTGTGTTCTGTTTATTCTCGGATTATGTTGAGAAAAAAATTATTCAAATATTACAACTTATTTTTAATTCATATTATAGTGTAATATATGAGTTCAACATATTTTTAATTGATTAATTATAGTGTGATAGATTTAATTAAAATTTCATTTGACGTAGACATTATATTAAAGCTATATTTGTTTTGATTATCTACGGAAAGAAAAACAATATTTTATAGCCTAACAATAATAGTTGTTTGCAGTCTTGAATTTATCTTGAGAGTGTCTCTGTAATATTTAAACAGCATGTTTTGATGAGTAAAAACATACTCGTGTGTTGTAAACACGTTATTAGCTTCTTATTATATAAGTTGTTGTAGTGGAGGCTTTTATGCGCTACATCTAATTTAAAAAAACGTCTAATTGATTAATTTTCCCACCAAACTTAATCAATTTATGTTTAAATAAAGCATATTTTTTTCTATTCTAAGAGTCCTCTGTAGTCAGTCATAGTTGTTTATGAAATGAAAAAATAAATCACTTAAAATAATTGTAGCGATACAGATTGATGGTTTCTGAAGTTAAATAAAAAACTTATAGCAGGGGTCACCATACCTTTTTAACCATTAACCCAAATAATTTTATAATTCTCTTATAGACCTGCTATAAAATAATAAAAAAGAAAACTTAACATGTTTCTCAAATGATTTACTTTATTTTGATGATTTGGCCAGTTTATTTGGCCATTTCATGTCCTCATTGTTAAAAGTTTTCCTACAAAGAAGGTAAAACAGCTTTCTTTCGTTCATTGATGAAGATATTAGACGTAATTTTAAATATTCCGCTGAATGGTGTGGAAAATTTGTTTTTTCGTTACTTATAGGAGGATATTGCTTAAATGTGGTAAGTTCTGACTATCATGAGTTGGTCTTAAGCAACAACATTTATCTAAATAAAACTGAATATAAACAATCTTTATTTTAGCGGAATGAACTTCTGAAAACGTGTTCTGTTTATTTTATTAAGGTAAAGTCACCGAGAAGGACAACGAATAATAATAACTTAAAAAAAAAGAATTGTTTAGCTTTATTAATTGTGTCGGTATATAACTTTCAGTTTTGTGCGCAATTTCATTCAGTACTGATTTATTAATTATTTTCTTTGTTTCCCGTACGAAGATCAAGTATTCAGCTAGTTCAATATAAACTCTTATTTTCGTTTGAAACCGTCTACTTATCTATTAATATTTATGTTTATAAACTCATTTCAAAATCTGCAGGCACATTGTCTTCTTAAAATTAGCGATTTTTTATTAGTAAAATTTAGTCAATACTGAAATATAGTGTAGGTTGGTATCGTTTCTAGAAAATTGCTTATTCGAAATAAAGAGCAACAAGTAAGAATAGTGATAATTTCTTAACAATATTTGATACTTGATTTGATTTGATTTAGTTGAAATATTGAACCTTTTGAATTCGCACGGAGAGTTTAATACTAACAGTATTTTATTGTCAAAGGTATTATACTTTAAATATTGCTGGCTTTTCGTTTAGTTAGCAAACTTCAGACAGTTTCATTTTAGATCAATTATTTGAATAACAAATGAGTAAAAAGAACTTGTTTTCAATTTAGAAATACTAGAGAAGCGTGTGTGTTTAGTGTTTAATGTATCCTTAATGTGTTTTTTCTCGTCATTATGTTAGTTTATAATACATATTTTTAATTTATTGACAAACTACTATAAATTAAAACTGTTGTTAATTGTATTTATTTCCCGTTTTACGTAGATAAAGTTTAATATGAAAAAAAGAACAATAAATTGAGAGAATGAAAACACGAAAGCAAATAAAAGCGACTTATCTTTGAAAACAAAAAAGTTTTTAAAACTTATTTTTTTCGGTAATAAACGTGATTGCTATTGTCACCAATCGTAACAAAAAACACAATTTCGCGTTAACTGCTGTCACCGATATTGATTTGATGTTTCCTCAAGTTTACAGAAGTAATTTTTTTCTATTTAACAATATCATGATAAAAAAGTAATGGAGATATTAATTTAAAACTTTCAATAAATTAAAAGAATTACTTAAATTAAAATTAAAGGAATTAATTAAAAGAATTACTCAATAAATTAAGCAATTACGCCAAAAATAATATTTAAAGCAAATATTACTTGAAATAGTTGCGCGTTTTGTAGTTAGTTTTAAAAGTTTTATCTATTTAAAACACTTTCAATCTTATACTATTATAAACGTATATTTTTCCAAGGAAATTATTTCTAGATCTTATTAATATAAACAGTAATATTTTGCATTTAAAACTAATTTAATGTAAGCGTCACATTTATTTAAGTTTAACGTATTGAATAAATCAGAACGAATTAATAAAAGCTATTATATTATAATTTGATTGATTTAAAAATTTAATGAGCTGTGAATAATTATTGTTGATAGTTTCAGTAAAATTTTTTATTAATAAAATGTTAAACTCTGACTTCTGAAAAGGTCTGAGTGATCATTAAAATTTTAAACTGCTCAAATAAAAAGGTTTGATTCAATGTTTTCAAAAGGGTGTATCATCCATGCGCTTTAGTACAAAATATTATGTATTCTACTCATTTGAAACAGGTTCAATTTAAACTTTTATACAAAGTTCAAAAAAGTACAACGCACAAAGAAAAAAAAATGCACATCGATTAACTTTTTATCTAATACTCGGATTTTCAAAACTCAATGGTTCTACGGAATAACTTTAAATATTCTGGCTAAATAGGGCAGATGATATATTTAGTTACAAAATCAGACACAAAAAATACTTCCGCGGAATGAACAGATCTTTTTTCAACACATTAGATTCTTAAACCTCAAAATAAGGGTGGGGGGGGATAGCCACAACCTGGAAAATATAGTCCCAAAAGTTTAGGCAGAAGAGCAGAAGAAAAATAATCTTTTTTTAAAAGATTTGATTTAGACTTCATAAAATTGCCATTCTTTGCTTTAATAGTTTTTAAGTTTGATTTTTAATCAACACTAAAACAAACTGTTTGTTAATGTTTTTAAGAAATTCAATATAATCTTACTTAGTATGAAGTAAACTTAGGAACAAGAAAGGATTCTCTAGCAGATGTAGCCCATCAATGGAAGAATACCTGAAAAAAACTTTAAAAAAATTGCAAAGACGTAAAAGACATACAAAATTTGTTAACTTTCAAGAATAATATATACTTACTTTTAAGTGCATGAAATATATCTATTTAGTTAAGGTTTTGAAAACACATAAATTTCATGTGATTCAGTTTATTCAAGTTTTGAAATGCAATTTCAAGCAGAAAAAAAACAATATTTATATTCATTCAAAATTGATTATTAATTTATCATGGTGTTAATTAGAATTTATGTTTAAAATGAAATTAAAATGTTGCATTAGAAGCTGTCATGATGTTTTCTGATATCGTTTTAAATAAAAGATCTCATGTTATACATAATAGCACATAAAATATACCATCACTGAAACAGTTTTGGAGCTTCTCTTCCTCTCCTGATTTAGTGACGTAAGTACTAGGGTTCGAAAGACCAAGTTGGGAAAGATCTTCGCAAGATTCAGCAGTATCTGAGTAAAAAGCTGGAAAAAGAAGCAGTAATATGACTATAATTTTACGCAATGCACTTTGAAAATTCGGTTCAACATTGAACCATAATATCATGAAAATAATCTGAAGCTTTAGTTTGATATTAAATTGGACCATTTTACCGTTCAAATTGAAGAATCAAGAAATCATGATTAAAAAGGAAAAATTTCCACGATTATTTGATTCAGTTCAGTATTGTTGTAAATGTGAAGTGCATTGTTGAACATTCCACAGAAAAAATGGTTAAATAACAATTTGTTTCAATGTTATTTTACCATATTTAAACAAAGCAGTAAAATAAACATAACAAAAGGGTATTCAAACTCTTAACTGAGAGAAAAAGAGTTTATTAACTGTTTTCACTTAATATCAGAATTTTATCCGCACCAGCTAGGCCCACGAAATGAAGCTACTTAATTCCTTGCAGATGGGTACATATGAGAGACGAGAGCCGAATCTGTCAATCCCATGACCGACAGAACGGGGTTTCAAGTCTCAGCGTTGATATCACAATATTTCCCCCATTTCCTTAAACACACGATGAGTTTATAGTATCCTGCGCTCTCTAGTTTGTGACCCTGGACTGCTAGAATATGGTACTCTAATTCACGCATAGGTGGCAGCACCACACAAAACACAAAAAGTCTAGTATTTTCCATCTTTTACGATTGCTGAAACAACCAGATTAACCAATTAAGCCACATTCCACGGTTCAGTCAATAAAGCACAACTCAACCACAACTTTAATGCCTATTACCAAACGAAAAGCCTAGCTTTAATGGCCAGTTAAATTTCTTTTTTATGGTTTTGAAACCATGCTAGTTGTGAATGATTAAAAAATATGTAGTTGAGTGTTCATGTCTTTTTAGTCATACTAGTTGTAAACGGTTTCAAAACCGTAAAGGTCAAATACGTTGTTTACCTTAAACTTTACGGCTAATTGGATGGACAAACTGCTGCCGGTTATTTTGCCGTTATTTTAGAATGAAATTCTAACAGTGTGTTACATATCAATACGTTTCAAAATTTTGAAGAGTTTCAGTAAGAAAGATTAATGGAATCAATATATGATTCAGCATACTGTTCTATTTTGGGCACTAGATAAAATCGTAATATTTGCAATTCGAACCATAATATGGAACATATTTACTCCAATCTTAGCAAAGTGATAAGTTGAATGATGTCTTGGTCATAGTATTTGAGAAAATAGAATATATTGCCTAAACTGGTACCGTGTAATGGTTTCAGCAAAATTGCACAATATTATGGTTTGACATGTTTTAATGTTTTTAAATGTAAAAAAATTTTTTAAATCTTTAATTATCTCTAGTTTTATAACAGTTTGAGTTAATTCTGTGTGAAATTTTCAAGTAATTTTCATTAATTAAGGGAATTTTTTTCCTAATTTAAACGTAAAACATCTAATATATATAATTCACTTACGTGGCTCCCAAATTTTGGCTGTATTTCTTTTCCGCCGGTGGCAACGTTTACTTTGTTTTGTTTACGTTACTGTTTCTGTTACACGGCGAATCGACCAATGATTGCCGTTAAAAATGTCACATGCCAAATCTAGCTGAGGTGGCTCAACATGTAGCGCTTTTAAAAACGGAAACTGTAATAACCAGAGAGCATCAGCTATGGCAATCTAATACTATTAAGCTAGGCAGAAGTGAGTAGTCTTTGCCGATGGATCTCTATTTTAGTATTTTGTAGAAAGCGCTTTTTTTTCACGAATTTAGGCTCCCAAATTTTGGCTGTATTTTTTTTCCGCCGATGGCAACGTTTGCTTTGTTTTGTTTACGTTACTATTTCTCTTATACTGCGAATCGACCAATGATGGCCGCTAAAAATGTCACATGCCAAATCTAGCTGAGGTGGCTCAACATGTAGCACTTTTAAAAACGGAAACTGTAATAACCAGAGAGCATCAGCTGCGGCAATCTCATACTATTAAGCTAGGCATAAGTGAGTAATCTTTGTCGATAGATCTCTATTTTAGTATTTTGTCGAAAGCGCATTTTTTTCACGAATTTATATATTACGAATTTATTTGACGATTTTTGATTTATATCACGAATTATACTGTAGCACATTTCTAATTGGTTTAACGAATTACATGTCATTTATTTGAATTCAAATTTATTTTAATGACTTAGTATTTACTAAAAAAAGTTTTTATATGGATTTGAATGATTGTTTTGAATTCTTAGAATTTTGTGCATTTGCAATGTACCTAAGTTAGTAGCGAGCGAAGCGAGCTTGGTTTGCGAAGCAAACCACATAAGATTGCGTATACAATTTTCGGGAGATGGCGAGCGTTAGCGAGCAGGGGGCGCAGCCCACTAGTAGATTATAATTAGTCTGGCAAACATTTCCCTTTTTTTCTTCGAAAAGAATCTTAACTTTCGATCCGCCCTTCACTACTGGTCAATGGTCATTGCACGAAGTGGTCTGATATTAAATTTCTTGTGGGGGAGAAACACCCTTCTTCTTCTCGCCTTTGGTGCCTTGCCGCTTTTTAGAAGAGGGTGTCATTGAAAGTGTTGTATGAGTTTGTTTTTCACAAAATTGCTAATTAATTACACAATCGTTATTTTCTTTTCTTATATAATTTTTTGGGAGCTTACTTATCCAAACTTAATCATCTGCTTCTTGAAGGTTAATTGGTTATGGCTTGTCTGGATTTTTCTCAGTCAATGAATTTTCTGAATATTGTCACACACACACTCTCTGACTAACTCGTATTGGTGTATCTTCTTCCATTTCTTCTCTGAGATGTGGACTTTGGCCGGTATCCAGGGAATTAATTACTTTTTTTTACATCCTTTTTCTTTGGCTAAAATATTTGATAAAATCCTCAAATCGCTATAAATTACAGTAATAAAAATGTCCTTTACGTCTATTTTTTATACCTTTGAATTTTCTATAGAAATCACAGACTATTTCAACTTGAGTGTTCAATTTGCATTTATCTTCTTATCACCCTTTAAATTTATCTTTTATATTGTATTACGCTTCATTGCAAATTCTTACTCTTGTCACCCATTATATTTGGGCATGTCTTTTCTTTAAATTGTGTGAAAAAAAGCGTGTTTTATTGGTAAAAATTGTGAGCGTGATGTAAATAATATTGAGCTGAATTAAAGAACGTGTGAATATACCATTTTAAATTGTCTCCTTTTTCGTCTGGTAGATTTATTTCTCTTGTATGCGGTGAGTACATTTTGCAGTTTTGGGACACATATTTGCTTTTAATTGAAAACATTAGTGGTTAAGATAAATTCTATGCTTGTATTGGGAGTACAAATTAGCTCGGTCCGTTTTTAAAATATGCCTCTAGCTGTTATGAATGTTTCAAAGTGACAGTTGGTTTCGGCGGTTTCAGAGAGGTTAGACATCTGTCAATATTATTCAGTTTATATCACTTTGAGTTTCATACAAAACCCTTGTTTTTTACTTTGTTGAATATGTCAAATTTTGGGATAACTAAGCAGCATTTGCGGGAGGTTTTATGTTTCTGCTCTAATTGAACGAAAAGTGCAGCTGAAGAGCATCGAATGCTTGTAGAAGTTTATGGTGACAATGCTCCAACTGATGGAAATGGTTTCGACGTTTCAAGAATGGCGAATGGTGAATAATGTTGTATACTATGAGCTGCTACAACCTGGCGATTCCATTACGGGCGATCGGTATAGGCTACAATTTATTTGTTTGAACAGTGCATTACGAGAAAATCGGCCAGAATATGAGCAAAGACACGACAAAGATATTTTTCTGCATGATAACGGTCGGCCTCATGTCGCAAAGTCGTGAAAAAGTATTTGGAAACTCTCAAGGGGGATATTTTACCACACCCGCAGTATTCACCGGACATTGCTCCTTTTGATTACTGGTTGTTCCAACGGATGCAGCTCGATTTGGCAGGTCACCGATTCACTTCTTTCGGAGAAATCGAAAATTGGTTCCTAACTTGGATCGCCTCAAAAGACGAGCCATTTTTTCGAGATGGAATTCGAAAATTGTCTGAGAGGCGGAAAAAAGTAGTAGCCAGTGATGGACCATACTTTGATTAATCTGCTCATTCATTTTGTTCTGAAATAAATTCATTTTTGACCACAAAAAATGGACCGAACTAATTTGTACACCCAATATTAAGATATTACAAGTCATTATTATTAATCTTTATTTTTCTGATGTCCATTTTATTTCATATTTGGTAAGGCCAATATGTTCAGTGTTTACGTCAAATTGTGTGACCATTGGACCTATTGGGTTATTGCTATTCCTTGATGGTTTTATACTACCACTTTACGCAAACGATCTCAAATTACTTTATTTAATAATAAGTGTTTCGTTTACGTTCAAGCCAAACAAATTTTATTTACCTTCGAATTTTCATGTGAGATGTTTTCATTTCAGTTTGAATTGATCCATCGTAGTTTGTAGAGTTGTCAAACAGTCTGATTTAAATATTTTTCTTCATAATCCGTTTCAATTTTCTTTTATCACGTTTTGCAATTTTCTTAGATATATGTTCCCTCTATGTGTATGTGGCTTATTCCTCAAGGTCTAGCTGCAAGCTAGACTACGTCCAGGAGGTCGTGAATTCTCAAAAAGTCATATACAATAAGAGATGTAATTATAAGGTCCTCCTTTTCAAAAGCCCCACGCAGTGGAGGAGATGATGCGGAGGTGCTATAAAATGCTGTAAATGCTCTCATTACACTTTAATTCGATAAAATAAGTAAGGGCGGGGATGGCCTGGTTGGTAGGGCACTGAGCCCATGTCCAAGAGGTGGTGGGTTTGATCCAGCCAACCGAAGACTCCTCATGTAGTAAATGATGACTGATTCACGTTAAATCTGTCTGGTCATAAAGTCCTCCATGTTCTCATTACAAATCATGCCTCTAGGGGTACTGATCCAGGAATTTTCTTGTCTTCTGGATTGGTTCAAAATAACGAGGCTACGGAGTTGAACATTAG